AGCATGAGGAGAATGGGTTATGCTTCCTTTTGCAGCATTACCTGTTACCCCAGCCGTACCAGGAAGCCCGGCCGTTAAGCAAGGGGAAGTGGTAAGTTCCTGTTGATGAATGTGGACTAGTAATCCCAGAGAGGCCTGGGAGGTTTTGCAGAATCAGTTTATTCCTGTAGTGTCTTCCTTTCTGCAGTGTACTGGTTCAGTCACTTCCTGGATGCAGCTCATTGGAAAACTTTCCTCACAGCAGTTTTCCTTTGGAAAATGCTGTTTCAACAAAACCAGGCCATTTTGGGCAAGATCGGGTCAATTTTGTTTAAACAAAGGCATGTGGAAAATGTCTAAAATGTCGTGCTGTCAGTGGGGCAGGTTTTGACTGGTCATTTCAAACGCCACTTTTCAATTTGACACGTATTTTTGTCCCTTTTTAGTATGAAGGGTCGCAATCAAGAGAGAATATTTTGCCTTTAGTGCAGTGCAATTGCCCCGAAACAATATTGTGTTTGGAATATCATTTTGCCTCAAACGTTTCTGCCATTTTTAAAGTCTCGACGTTTTTTGCCAGCTGGGAAATCAATTCCCCAGGCACCGCTATTCTGAGCTGCAGGAGAAAAGGAATTGACCAAGGGCACGCAGCAAGCTGGTGGCAGAGCTGGGAATGAAATTAAAGAACTTCTGAATGCCAGTCCAGTGGTCAGTAGGTAACCCACACACCTGCACTGACCCCTCTAGTAGCATCTAGAGCAGTTACAGAGAGAGAGAGAATAATGAGTCTACTCTACACCCGCAGCTACCAGTCAGCTGGCTTTTAACTCATAGGGTAGAGGCTCATGCACTAAACTCCAGAGATCACGGGTTCAATTCCACCCCCAGATAATCAGGGTCTGCTGGCGTAACATGTACATTAGGCCATGTGAAAGATTCCAATGACTCCTTATTCTCTGTAAGGGTGTCAGCATGGTCTAGTAGATACAAAACAGGGCTGGGATTCAGAAGATAATGGCTTATCATCCTAATTCTCCCTCTGAGTGATCATGGGCAAGTCGCAGCCCCCTTCTGTGCCTTGGTTTCCTCATCTGACCAATGGGGATAGCGATATGGCCCTCCTTTGTACAGCCCTTTGCAGGCCAGGGATGTAACTGTGCGGGATGAGAGCGCGGCAGCGATAACTAGAGTTCTGATGCTTACTTTAAAGTCCCTTTATGCTGCCAGAGATGCAAAAGGCCCCCCTCCCCCCCCATGTAACACACCCTCGCTCTCCAGCCTCTTGGTAGTGCCAGAACCGTGCAAAGAGGCCTTACCGCATATAAGAATCAGGCCTTGTGTCCTAATTTTGGCCACCCTTTGCCTGATGCTGTCGTACCATGCTGGCCAGGTATCATTCCCAGGCCTGATACGCCAGGAAATCAGCCACCCTCCTGGCCTCATGCAACAAGAGGTGACTTTTGACTCTGGATTTCCAAATCCCAGCCCCTCCGGGTTCCAAGCTACCAGCGACCTTGCTAATAACAGCGACTCATTTCACACTACACTAGGCTTCCTGGGTTGCTGCTGTTTGCTCCTATCCCCGTGCCCCGGCCCTGTGCTACTTGGCCATCGGGGGCTTATTTAAAAAGAGATTTTAGTCAGAAAAAGTTCTTTTTAGGAAACGTTCTCGCCATTCCCTGTGACTTGGAGTCTGGTCGGCTGACTCGGCAAACGCGCAATCGCTTATCTTGGGATCAAAGGGAGCGTGAAAGGTTTTTTTTTGGGAATGTAGTAACTGAAAGTGGATTAGCTGAGTGAGGAAGGGTGGCGCAATGGTTAGGGCGTGAGCCTGGGACTTAGGAGACCAGCAGTCCATTCCCTGCCTTGCTGCAGTCGTGTGGCTCTGGGCACATCACTTAGTTGTTCGGTGCCTCAGTTTCCTCCTCTGGACAGTGGGAATAATTCCCCGGCCTCACAAGGAGGTTGTGAGGAGAAATACATTAGAGACTGTGAGGTGCTCAGATAATGGGAGTCTGATTATTCTGGGGCCAGTTACTAGCTACTCCAGACAGACGTGCATGAATTTCCTGTATTTGTCTTCTGGGGATAGCCCCCATTTGCTAGACTAGAACATGACTCTTAATTTCCAGGTGCCTACCCTTTCCAAAGCTTCCAGTCGCCTAACTCGGGATCGTCCCGACTATTGCACCACAGAAACATCTAATCCTGTCTTAACCCTGTCCAGAACTCTGTGTGGAGAACAGTTGTTCCCTTTGGCCAGTGTGGAATTCACCCCCTTTCCGTTTAATTGCACCCATGTGCACACGCGCAACCCGCTCTTGCCTTGAGCACTGGTTTAGGGGAGAGACAGGACAGAGCGGTTGTGTGTCTCTGCTCCCAAGCTGGGGTTGCAGAGCCGGCGGTTGGAAAAATCTCTCTCTGCTGAGTCATAAACTGAAGAAACTAGATATGGAAACCACAGAGAGAGAACTGCTTGTTGTTTAACGGGGCACTGGAATGCCCAGGCTCTCCAGGCACAGCGTTATGCTGGGACTGTCGGGACATGCATTTTATAACCCACACCCTGTACACTCAGCATCCAGATCAGCCACCTCTCTGTGCATTTAGATAAAGGAGCAACTCCATTAGCTGGCAGTGGTATTAAGCCAGTATCCTCTCTAGCAAAAGGCACTTTTGTACTTGAGGCAGTGTGGCCTACTAGCTAGGATTCTGGGGACGTGAGTTCTAGTCCAGGCTCTGCCATTTGGAAAAGTCCCTGTTCTACTCTGTGCCTCAATTTCCCTATCTGTCTTGTCAGTTTATTGTACACTCTTCAGGGCAGAGATTGTGTGTACCATTGACAGTAGCAGTTTCTGACACTTGTTTGCAAAGAACTGAGGCCCAGCAAACTCATTCCATGCAGGACACTGAACAGATGGTAGTGGCTCAGAGTTGCTATAAGACCCCTTCACACTGCGTTGCAGTATAAATCAGAACCTGACCCTGTGTCCTTTAACAACTGCAGAGACCAGGTGACACACCTAAGGTCATACAGGGAGTCAGTGGCAGAGGTAGGAATGGCATCCACATCTCCTGATTCCCAACCCAGTGCCTTAACCTCAAGATGTTCTTTTCTCTTGCTGCTTATAGCTCTCCATCAGATGCCATCCAACCCAACCCCCGGCTCAAAAATTGCATCTGGCACCAGCTTCTTGCTTTGGGTCTTATTAGGAGACAAGGAGGCAGAAAAATGAAACCTTGGGAATCTCTCCAACTCTGGCAGGGATTTTCCTGCTTTAAAGCCTGCTGATTGTCTGCAGTGGTTTTTAAGCAGCCGTCAAGCTGTTTGGTTCCAATATCCAAGAACAGAGGCCGTTTCTCAGTTCTGTGATCACGTTGCAATAGACTCCTGGAAGGCACTTCATGGGGTCACCACGGCCTTTCTCAGCGGAGTTAACTGCAGCCGGTCTGTGGGCCAGTCCTTGAGAAACACTGATAGTCTAATCCCCAGCCAAAGTGCAGGATTTGTTGTGTCTACATAATGTAAAGGTGTCACGTGGCTACGACAGAACTAATGACCGAAGTAGGAGTCAAAGGGCGACCTCACTTTGGTTAGTGCTGTAGTTCTGTCCTGCCCAGGGCTGTTTCAGACTGGGGGGGAGTGTCCCTTTGAGAATGCATTGGGAGGGCCCCTTGTCTCACCAAGTCCCTGCCTCTGCTTCAGGGGTGAAAAGAAGCCGGTACGGCACTCCGGTAAAAAGCCGTCCGCCTGGGGCACTTTGCTGCCATGAGTGGGACAACCACTCCCAGCTGGGTTCCCGGGGCTTCCAGCAGGCAGGTGAAAGGGGTTGGCTGGGGGGACACCTCTCTGGTCCAGAACTGCCCCCACTCCCTGACAGTCCCAGGAAGGAGAATCAAAGCACCAGGGACCTGGTATGTGCAGCAGCAGCTCCCCCACCCTCCTGAAATGGTGCCCTTGCCCCCCCCCTCGCACCCCCTCCTGCACCCATGCCCAGCCCCTTCCCTGAGCCTCCTGCACCCCAACTCTGAATCCTACACCCCCCCATCTCCAGTCGCCTGTCCTGAACTCCTCCTCACCCCCCAACTCCTCCCCAGACTCCTGCTCCTTCCCCCCCCCACCACCACGCACACACCCCACTCCACCTCACACTTAAATTTCTCACCAGCATTGTCATATCCCATTTCATCCCCCTGCCTTGAGCTCCCCCCCACCCCACCCCTGCCAGGAGGGTGCCACATGACAGTACCTGTAAGAAAGGTAAGTGACTTTCACTCCCAGCTGCTAATATTAGACAATCCCTTGTTACCATCCCTTGCAACCCAGCTGCTGAAACGATCCCCTCCCCCTTCATCCCGGCCGTGGGCTCTTGTCAGAAGCCCATTTCATCCCCCTGCCTTGAGCTCCCCCCCACCCCACCCCTGCCAGGAGGGTGCCACATGACAGTACCTGTAAGAAAGGTAAGTGACTTTCACTCCCAGCTGCTAATATTAGACAATCCCTTGTTACCATCCCTTGCAACCCAGCTGCTGAAACGATCCCCTCCCCCTTCATCCCGGCCGTGGGCTCTTGTCAGAAGCAGCAGCAAACGGGGGCACGTTGGGGGGAGATCCAGGGTCTGCCTGCGGACATGGGGGACCATGGCTTTACGCTACTGGGTAGCTCTGGGGGGCAGCTCCTAGCACAAATTGGAGCAGGCCCTGCTGCCTGGCGCGAATCTGATTTTTGTGCTCCCATGAGCCCTGGCTGGAGCCGCCAGTGTAGATGGGCAAAGCTGTTGCTAGCTACTGTTTGCATTGGTGCAAAACCTCCAGGAAGGGTTTGCATTGGCGTCACGGCTCCAGGGCCATGCCAGAGTATGCTAGGCCCTGAGAGTGTGCTCCAAATCGCTGCTCCGTGCCTCAGTTTCCCCCAGCAGCAGAACGGGGACAAGACTTGTTCTGCATCAGCCCATGCAATCTTCAGCTCTTGCCCGGCAGGTGCCCTGGATGATATTAACCCTGCGTTTTGTGCCTCTCAGTGGTGCTGATCGGGGACTCTGGAGTGGGGAAGAGCAACCTCCTCTCGCGCTTCACCCGCAATGAGTTCAACCTGGAGAGCAAGAGCACCATCGGGGTGGAGTTTGCCACCCGGAGCATCCAGGTGGACAGCAAGACCGTGAAGGCTCAGATCTGGGACACGGCGGGCCAAGAGCGTTACCGTGCCATCACCTCGGCGTGAGTAGCAGCATTTCACCCTAGAGCCCGGATTGCATTGTGTGTCCCTTCCGAATGCAGCCGTGTCTGGGGTGGAGCCCAGTGTCTAACAGCCCACACTAACAGGCTGGATTGGAGTGAAGGTGCAGATAGTCCATGATGCTGCCTTGGAGATTGGTCAATCATGGGCCACAGACCCCAGTCCTCTCCTCCCCTTGGCTTTCCGTGTGAGCTAGACCCCCTCCCCTTTTCAATCCCACTGCTCCAGGAGCTCGTCTCTTTTCTGCAGCCGCCTCCACAACTGAGCGGCTCAACTGGCATTGTGTAATCACTTGCTCCCTTCCCTGGTGGCTGTGTGCGCTAATTGAACAGGGCTGGCCCTTAAAGGGATATACCAGCCTGCTATAAGGCCTCTGGTATCTTGTGGCAGTGAGTTATGCTGGCTAACGGAGGACAGATGCAATATCCAGAGCAGGAACCTGGCCCTGTCGCTGGCCTTGGATGTTCCTGACTTTGCAGCAAGACTTTCATCAGATGTCTGGGATTTTTCTCAAGAGGCCGTGGGTTGTTTTTCCCATGACTTTGTCCTCCTATCAAGCCCCGCCCCCCCATACACACTTAAACACAAGGTAATCTATGTCCTCGGGAATGAGAGCGCTAAACGGGGGGAGGGAAACTGAGGCACAACTGTTCTATTGACTTAGTATGTCAGTTGAGGCACATCTGGGAGTAGAGCCCTTCCCAGTCCCCCTGGGCTCTCCCCACTAGGTACCACTCCCTTCCCCAGAGCTGAGAGTAGAGACCTTCCCAGACCCCCTGGGCTCTCCCCACTAGGTACCACTCCCTTCCCCAGAGCTGAGAGTAGAGACCTTCCCAGACCCCCTGGGCTCTCCCCACTAGGTACCACTCCCTTCCCCAGAGCTGAGAGTAGAGACCTTCCCAGACCCCCTGGGCTCTCCCCACTAGGTATCACTCCCTTCCCTAGAGCTGAGAGTCGAACCCAGGAGTCCTGACTCCCCACCCCTCCCCCTTGCTCCCTCTGTCTATGAAGCTATAACGAGCCCCTGTGTGGGCTGCTCTGAGTGGGACCCACCTTGACCTGCCCCTTTCCTGCGCCCCCGTCCTGCCCCAGGGCCAGCCTGTGACTCCACTGCCCCCCCCCAGGTATTACCGGGGTGCGGTGGGAGCCCTCGTGGTGTACGACATCGCCAAGTACCTGACCTACGAGAACGCTGAGCGCTGGCTGAAGGAGCTGCAGGATCACGCCGACGCCAACATCGTCATCATGCTGGTGGGCAACAAAAGCGACTTGCGGCACCTCCGCGCCGTGCCCACCGATGAGGCCAAGAGCTTTGCAGGTACTGGCCTGGTGGCCCCGTTCCCGAGGCTGGAGGGAGACCAGCTCCAAAGCTGCCCCTCTCCCCCATCTTCTGTTTCTCTTTGCTTGACCCACTGGATGGAGCCCAGAGCTGGACCGGCCTGGGGCTCCGTGGGGAGGGCTAAATTAGGCTGGTTTGTGAGTGTGCATGAGCGCGCACAGCCCTCTTCTGCTTGGCACTGGCACTGCAGAACCGTGTGTCATAGGCCCTCGCCAGTGACGGAGAGTCTCTCTCCGCTCCCTAGGCGGCTGGGTGTGTGGGGCTGTGGGGCGGGGAGGGTGGCATTTCCCATCCCCCGCTCCTGCCCTGATGCACCAAGAAGCCCCCGTGTTGTGGAGGGGAACACAACCTGGCCGGGGTGTGGCTTTTCATGCCATACTGTGCCCTAGAGACTTTCCCGCCCCCCCGCCCCTGTGTCTGCACGGGCAGCCCTGCTCCTTGGGGAGAGCGGGGTCGTGTCTGGAGGGGCCCCGATGAGAGGGGCAGGGCTGCTCCTACGTGGGTAGAGGCAAATGTGCAAAAGATCTCAGGAGAAGATCTGTGTCCATCAGTCTGTCTAAACGCCCTGTCCCTGCAGAGAAGAATGGCCTGTCCTTCATTGAGACATCTGCCCTGGACTCCACCAACGTGGAAACGGCCTTCCACAGCATCCTGGCAGGTAGGGGGCCCACAGCTGCCTTGCTTTGGGAGGGGGGGAAAGAGGAGGAGGCTGGGAATGGACTGTGGGCCATACTGTGTGT